AATGCCCAAGTCAGTAATAATCTGAGCTCAACAGATCAGCGTCAGACAGATTTTCATACTTTAGTGGGTGAAGTGAAGGTGTATTTATAGGGATTTGAGAGTAGTTACACATCCCATCGAGGTACTTCACTGCTCTAGGGTCAAGTGATCTGCTATGGACTGTTGGTCCGTGTTAGTCTTTTGATTTATCCCTGTCTTGGAGCATAATGAAGGTTCTCATCCGCGTCTAAGTAATCGGGCCCGACCTCTGAGGTCGACCTATGATCCTTCGAGAACAGGTCGACCTACGACAGTTTGCCCTTCAATATTGAATTGTCGATGGAACCGCATGACATCAAAGCTTGTCCTTTAGGAGCCCGACATTGCATGAGCTTAAGAGCTCTTCCTAGATGGACATGATATCTTTCGTAGATGAGCTGAGGAGCTCTTCTGTAGATGAACTTAGGAGCTCTTCCTAGATGGACTTAAGGTATCTTCCGTAGATGAGGTTAATAGCTCTTCCGTAGATGAGTTTAAGAGCTCTTCCTAGATGGACATGATATATTCCATAGATGAGCTTGGGAGCTCTTCCGTAGATAAACTTAGTAGCTCTTTCGTAAATGAGCTTAAGAGCTCTTCCTAAATGGACTTAAGAGCTCGACCGTGGATGAGCTTAAGAGCTCGTCATAGATGGACTTAAGACGATATATTCCGTAGATGAGCTTGGGAGCTCTTCCGTAGATGAGCTTAGAAGCTCTTCTGTAGATGAGCTTAAGAGCTTTTCCTAAATCGACTTAAGAGCTCGATCGTGGATGAGCTTAAGAGCTCTTCCTAGATGGACTTAAGAGGTCGGCCGTAGATAATCTCGCCACGTGGTAGGTCATATTTTTGCCCCCAACATGTGTTGTACATTACATTTAACTTTGACTTCGATTAGGTTACGTTACTTCATTTTTGTTAATTTTTTTTTCTTTTTGAGAACATCAGTTTTTGTTAAACTTTGAACTTGTTGCCACATTTTTAAATATATACTTTATTTGCTATTTAGGTAAATACACATTTATATATAATTGTTTTTTACTTTTGATATTTGTTGTTGTTTCTCTCCGATCACGGTTGATGGGAGAAAATTAGAAAATGATAGAGTAGAGAAAATTGAAGAAGGGGAGAAAAATAAAGGAAGAGAAGGGAATGGAAAGAAGAAATAATATAAAACTATTTAATATTCTCACGTCATCTAAAATTTGACAACTCAATTATGCCACATCGTTATAAGTTCAGAGACTATTAAGAACCCTTTTCTAAATGTCGGAGACTAAACTGTCACTTTTTGAAACTCGGGACCAAATAGACACTTATCCTCAAATTCATGGACCAAAAGTGCATTTTACCCTACAATTAAAACACGCCACAAATTTAACCTAATAATTTTTTTTTGTTATTATAAAATGTTGGGTTTGTAAGAGGAATGCAAACAAAGTCTCGCTAAGAAATGAAGTGATCTATGGTATATAAGAGAAAACAATTATCTCCATTGATATGAGATATTTTGGAGAAATTAAAACAAAGCGAAGGTTGTGCCCAGAGCGGATATAAGATATACACTTATTGCGAAAGTATATTTCTCTCTCACTTTCCAGAATTTTCCACTGATTCAGTCTATTATTCGAAGTTGTATCATAATTCAATCCATTTAAAAGAGATCAAACATCGTAGTATGTAAAAACATCAATTGAGTGTGAGGTATTTAAGTCTATACCAATTTAATACCCCAGTTGGAATTTGTAGGGGAGTTCGGGGAAATATTACAAATACAAAACGATACTCTCACTTAGAATATTTATATTAAAATCAATAGGATGTCACTTGGGCTACATTTAAAAGGGATTCATCCTCAATAAGATTAACGAGTCATAAAGGAAGTAGGAGGTGGTCTATTGAGACCATAAAAAAGAGCCAAAATGACTGAGCCTACATTTTGCAAACATGTGAAATAGTTGGTTTCGGCCTCTTCGAATGCGAGTTAAGGAGATTGAACGAACTTTTATCACCATTGTACCACTACTAGTATATATTGGAAATACTAATCAATGTAATGTAAGGATTCCTTTTCTTTTAGTACATGTGGGGGTGGGAGATCGAACTCACCAACCTCTTGGTTGAAGATATATGTCAATTACAGCTGAGCTATGCTCGTTTTGACATTAAGTATTAATTGATTACTCTAATGTATAAGAAGGTTTACATATTTTAACCTTTTTTTATTTGATCTTGATTCTAAACTTAAAAATATTTGTTTTAGTCATTTAATTATTTAAAAATTATTTTTTTTTTCAAAACAATAAATATGAGAGATAGGAATTTAAATCTCCAACTTAGAAATTATATGCTTTGAACGTTTAAAAAAAAGAAAAAAATATATATATCGTAAGAACTTTTTGATATGCACAACGGAAGCTAAGGATCATAATATATTTAATGAAGCAATTTAACTAAAATAAGCATGCCGGGAAAAATGATGAAAAAAGTAAAGAAGAAGTGATTAACTTTACACCTTTGAAGACCTTCACTATAACTTTTTTTCCTAACTCAATGGGACCACCAACGGCAAATCCGTGCTATCCTTGGGATGATGAACATGGTTGTGGTACCGAATTTTGAGTGAAAGCAAAGGGAAAGTACTAATGGCTAGGAGAAAACCTTAGAAATTTGAGTGGAAAAATTATGTACTTATGCAAGGAAGCATTAACCTTCTCAAAGTGATCTTTATCACCTATACAAAGACCAAATGCATGCAATGACAAACCTTGCATGCTTTCCATTTTAAACCCCACGAGCATGTAAAAAATAGGTGTTAATGCCTTAAAGAAACACTTCAAAAACCACTAGTTAGTATGAAAATCCAACTTCGAAGTTGGATTTTCCACTGATCTTGATTTTTAAATAAAACTTTTATAAAAATAATTTTTTATAAAAACAAAAATTGAAATATCAATTTTCTATTAAAACAAAAACCAAGCCAAAATAATATCTCATGTTAATTGGTCTTTTACACTTAAACTTGATTAATCACATTAATCAAATTACCACTATTTTTTATGCTTTAAACTTATTTAAAACTAATTTAAATAAGTCATACTCTCCATAATAATTAATTCTCAATTAATTATTATATATATTATATCTCATATAAAATACAATATTTCCTAAAAAACATAATTTGAACACTTCAAATTTTTGCTTCACCTAGTTCATAAATTTTATCCTTTCTGAGCTAGCATGGAGACCCGATGGACCTACAGATCATGAGCTCCAACGATTTGAGACTAACCGGTCAAACTCTTTAACTTAGTTAATCATCATTTGTTAACTAACAGGACTGTCTACTATAGCCTGTAGATGCACTCCCCTCACTGTAGATATATTTGTGTCCATTCCATATAACCGTCATCAGTAAGTTGATCCTTCACAGGCCGTTCGTAACCTCAGCTAGGTCAAAAATTGTTTTACCCCTGAGTTACATCTTTTCTCCTTAAGTACCGCTATCCCTTTAATGGACAATTGAATTAAGATCAAATCACTAAATCTAATTCCTCTCGGGCCAGTGAGATGATGGGGCCCCTTGTTCAAGACCCGGGATTAGCCCTTAAGGGAACAACCTCTCTACTATCTCTAAATCAGGTAGGAGTGAGTTCTGTCTTGCTAATTTCTATGTCCCCAGCTATCTACCCAGTCTTATCCCTGAAACGGAAGACATATTGAGCAGTGCTGATGAGCTTACTCTCACCTATGCAGATCAAGGGAGAATCCTGAAAAAATAGGAGTTCATAGACGGCTCATAATTTAGATCAAGTTATCTAGGTCATCGATAAACGAAATTAATCAGTGTTTTACATAAACAATGTTAATAAGTAACAGTGATTATTTCAAGGTCAATCTTACACAATCTCATTGTGTAGAACACCCCCACTCACATGTTCCTACATGAACGAATTAAGATCACTTTGTTTATGACACCTTACAACATTTGTAACAATCATAAAGCGGGCTGTATTCAATAGTGTCTCCAGGAAAAAGTATCAAACTTAATCCATGTACTATAGACTGTTTATGCTATTTACTTGAATTTGATCCAGTTTATGTCTCCACATAAAGTCCAAGTACTCATTATAATAACCAAGAGTTCATAGTTTATTGGATTTAGAGTTTAAAAAATTCACTTTCAACACTTGTTTGAATAACCTCACATGAATTAATGTTCACTGTTTACAAACTACGAGTATTAGGACAAAAAAAACGCGACATATATATATAATATATATATATATATATATATATATATATATATTTACTTCATGACATAATTTTAATATGTATTTGTAAGAATATCATAAATTTTAATTTGTTTTTCAAACATGGCATAAATTTTGGTTAGTATATTTTACATTACACTTAACTTTGACTTTGACTTTGATTTAGGTTATTTCAAATATATGTTTTATTTGATGCTATTTAGGTATATACACACACATACATGTATATTTTGTAGTTATTGGTTGAATATTCATTGCAAAACAAACACAAATATCATTTGTTTTCATAAAAATCTTATATAAAGTCTTTAACCGATATAACTGGTTTTTTAGTACAACGAGTAGGATGATCAATGGAGAATTAAAATTCATGTTCTCTTAGTAAAAAAACATATGTCAATTACTACTAAGTTAAGAACTTTCAAAAGAGGCACATATATATATCTCGATAGTAGCCGCCTCCGAGTCCGCACCTTTTTCGACCCGACACGTGAAGCTTCTCATGGCAATTGATCCGATCTTCCCTAATGATAATTTGTGGAGTCCAACTCGACACAACGAGGTAGATTATCCTCAAAACATTTTTTTAACCCAAGCATGGAGTAAAATTTTCAACCAAATTAATGTCCCATGGTTTGATTTTATGAAAGCAAAGTCCCAAAGCGGAATCGAAAGCAATTATTATCCCATAAACAAAATAGACAAACGGAGACAATAATCAATTTCAAGTCCGCCTTCGAGTTCCCTCCCAACGCAGAACGCCCTGCCTCTCTCGCTTCGTTCATCTTTACACACCTTCTGCCCCTCGCAAAAACCCTCAATTCCCAATCCGTAGATTCTTCCTATCAATTATTTCCGCCTGAATTTCTCCAACTTTTTCGAGCGGATCGAGTCGTCTCACTGGATCTAGCCGTGTCTCCAAATTTTTAGCTTCCTCCACTTCATGGGCAGCGGCTGAGCTCGGAGTCGGGCCCATATTCCGTCGTTCCTGTTTGTTCGTCGCCGGTGTTCTTGCTGAATCCGGTCGAATTTTGAGTTGGGTCTGTCGCGAAGTTGATTTCCTTTCCTGGGTTGGAGTGGGTGAACGTTGATTTGGGTGGCCGGAACTTCGATGGAGTATGAACCGTCGGATAGCAGTGGTGAGTAAATTGAAAAGATTGGTTTTGAGCTTTCGAGGGTAGGGGTTTTCTGGGGCTCAATAGCAGTAGCTCGCCTTATGAATTATATTTTTCTCTTGATAATAGCTAGGTTTTATTTATTTATGCATTTTTTTATTTTTTTTTTTGGCTGTTCTAACTTCTAAGTATGCCATCAAATTCATATTGCCTTCTTGCCTTGTTATGTAGAAGTGAGGAAAAATTTTTACCAGGAAGTCTTTGTGCTAACCCTACTAGAAAAGGAATGAAAAAAAGAAAGAAAGAAAGAAAGAAAGAAAGAAAGAAAGAAAAGCTTTTGCGTTATTCATTCTGTTCTGTAGATATAGTATTTCCCTTTGGCTGTTAAGAGCTTTCTCCTTTCTCTCTTTTAATTTAGCTCTTTTCTTCTAGTTACGTCTTCTGTAGTCACTAGCAAGGAAGTATTCTGGTGTTGTAATGGGCAATGAATTGACATTTATATTCTGTTTAAATTCGGTTGCTTTGTGCGTAATAAAGCGACTGCCCGTGAGGTGGTATGAAAGGTGCGCTATGAACTTGCTTGGAGGATTTTGTTAGTTTAATCTTACTATTTTGTAGAATGGCAACATTATTCTGGAGATTTCCTCTTCTAATTTTAAGATTTTACGGTGTAAAACGGCTTCAGGAACAGATGATGACCTTCCTCCTCCTCATCAAAATAGATTTCAACGAGGTGGGCTTCCTGCTGGGAACGGAAGATCTGCTGCGGTCAATTCTTCTACATTACCTAGGATGCTCGGTGATATGGAAATGCAGATCCACCACATTGAGCAGGAAGCATATAGTTCAGTCCTCCGTGCTTTTAAAGCTCAATCAGATGCGATTACATGGGTATCTTTTCTTCAAATTGTTTATTTGTTGAATTTGTAAAATCTATTTTTATGTTCAGCTTTTAAATTCCTTACAATTAACTTTTATCAGGAAAAGGAAAGTTTAATAACAGAATTAAGAAAGGAGTTGAGAGTATCAGATGAAGAACACAGAAAACTTTTATCCAGGGTAAATGCAGACGATGTCATCAAAAGGATAAGGTTTGATGATTTTTCGAGTGATTGTCAATAATATTTTATTTTGATATGGTAATGCTTGTCCTGTACTGCTACTTTACGGCAGTTGGTATGAATCATGCTATATTGTCATGCATTGTTATGAATAATGCTCTAGGGAATGGAGAACAGCAAATGGGGTTCAACCCGGAAAGCTGAATACTGATCAACTGATGGCTGATCCCACACCCAGCCCTACTGCATCTGCATCACGGAAGAAACAGAAAACGTCCCAGGCTTCTTTGTCCCAAGGTGGACCTACTCCTGCAGTACCTCCTGGTACGCAACCATCTTCATCAGCCATGAGACGCGGTCCTCCCCCTGGAGCTAGGAATATAAAGACGAAATCAGTAAGTTTTTTAGATTGTACCTATTGAATAAATTAGGGTTATTTTGTTCTGTTTAATTTTTGTTACCCTCTATTATTTGGTCAATTCACTGCATTGACTGCAACACTTTTTGTGAAGTCCATGCATACAGGTCTTACGGGAAGTGGCCAAGGGAATAATCGAGGTTCTTTAGGGGCCTTTGTTTCACATGAACCTGCTGAAGGAGCAACCCATCAACCGGTAATTGGACGGAAAGTTTGGACTAGGTGGCCCGAAGACAACAGCTTCTATGAGGCTGTTATAACTGATTATAACCATGCTGAGGTTTGTTCTTCACTTCTTTGAACGATTTGATTTTACCCCAGACCTGGGTTATATCCTTGATCTCATCGATCCTTATTTTGGACAGGGCCGTCATGCTTTGGTCTATGATATCAATACGGCAAACGAGACGTGGGAATGGGTCAACCTTAAAGAGGTACTCCCCACCCCATAAATAAAACAGTAAATGAGGGACTTTCTAGATTGCGCTTGTTCATGTATTGTTCCTCTCTATAAGAATATTACCTTTGTTAAAAGGCTTGCTCTTCACTTATTCAAGCTGACGAAAACGAAAAGCATTTTGGATATTGTGCTGTTTATATTTGAGACTACTTCTCAACTAGGGTTATAATGCAATCGGTGGCATGATCGATAGGATGTTTATTATCATATTGCAATATTCTGTGCATGCTAGATAAAGCAGGTCACGTACTTCCGTTATAGGATGGGATCTGTTTGGCAAGTTCTTGTAACAATTGTTCGCTGGTGAAGTAGTAACTATTTGATGCACTTTTGCAATGTTTTCTTGTGCATATTTTTGAGCTTTTAGATCAGACTAGTAACTGGAAGATAGTATAGATTATCATTTACCTGTTTTCCAATCTTCTAATAGTATGCTTGTTAGTTTTCAGCTTATGATATGTGTGTGTGTGTGTGTGTGTGTGTGTGTGTGTGCAGTTGTTCAAGATTTTTTTTCCCTAATAAGAAACCAAGCTTTAATCAAGTAAAAATGAAAGAATATACCAGGGGAGTTGTTCAAGAATTGTAATGTCTTCTGCTCAAATAGAAAACCACTAACAGTGATTGCTGTTGATTGTAAACCACATGACTGTAGTGTGTCTGAAAATGTTGCTTCTTTTTTCACTTAAAGATCAGACTATTAATTGGATGATGAGATGACCAGCCATAAATTCAGTAGTCATTTTTCTATTTGAAATCCTGATCTAAAGTGGAATATTGTCACTTATGAGTTATCTATACACCTCTCCTGTTATAGATACCTCCTGAAGATATTAGGTGGGAACGTGGCGATTTACCTCGCAGTGGCGCTCGACCTGGACACGGGAGGGGCAATAAGAAGTCCATGACACGGGGTGGTGCAGTTGCAGCTGGTGGAAGGGGTCGGGGGACCACAAAGGGCCAATCCAGGAAAGACTTACCTGTCTCTCAAAATGGTTCTAGGAAGCAGGCTACGGGCGATATTGAAATACTTCACACCGACACGCTGATTAAGGAGGTGTGCAAGATATGATATGATTTCTTTTTATCATTCATTTTCTGTTCTTTATTGTTTTGGTTAATGCAAGTGATGACCTTTGTTTTTCCCTTGTTATTTGAGTTGCTCGAACAGGTGGAAAAAGTATTTGGTGCCAATCATCCCGACCCGATGGAGATCGAAAAGGCTAAGAAAGTGCTGAAAGTATGAATCTTTCTTCATCCTAAGCTCCGACTTAACTTTTCTATGTGCATTTACTTATCTAACTTATTTCGGATCTGTGTGAATGCAGGAGCACGAACAATCCCTCGTCGACGCGATCGCAAGGCTTGAAGATGCATCCGATGGTGAAAGTGGTAATAACTAATTAAACATGCTTACTGGTGTACAGTACTTAATTTAAATGATATGCATTGGGTTCTGTATATGTACATTGTGCTTGAAAACATACCAAACCTTCATTTTCTTTTACTGTGCTTTCTTTTTATCAACTTCAGTTCTCGGTCTCCCAATTTTGTAAAATTGTTCACTTCAATTATTAGACTTCTCCTTCAGTACTGATTTATGGATCCAAAAGTTTGCCTGGTATTTATTATTAATATATTTGTGATAGCTTCTTCTCACAAAACATTAGCAAGGTGAAAGGCTAAAAACCCATCTGATTATTAAATTTGGGTGTATAATTTCATCGTCATAATTTCAATGGATTATATATATATATATTTTAATATAAAGAATTAAGAGCGGTTAAATTGGGTTACTTGGTAGTGAGAAGATCATATTTCTTCCTCTTTTTCTTTTTTGGGATTCAAGCAGATGGGAGAGAACCATATTCTCAAGGGCAATCAATGGTTCGTGTATGATGATGATGTAAAGTGGCTGAAGCTCCAAAATGGCAAAAATTCTACAACTTGCAGACTTGCTATGGAAAAATTTCTGCAGTGTGCTCAGCTCCGTTATGGCGTTTTCGAGCATTTTTGAACTCTTGTGATCAACTGTGCAGTTAATGAAGTCATGGCTTCTGTTTATTGATTGTACTAAGAATTCTTGTTTTATTTTGGTATCTAGCTTTAACTCAGTAGAAATGTTCTTCCTGTAAAACTCTATTCCAGAGTCAATAGAATCTCATTTAGATGCTTAGTTTTGTTTTTTCACTGTAATAATTGCAAAATTTGTTGAGCCAAAACCTCTAATTTTCCTGCAGTACACACAAGAAGTTAATATTACAGAGCCTGATCCACAATGGCAACAAAGGGTGGGTTTGTTCCCACAAATATTCTGAACAAAAGTATGAATCCTACAAAGAAGATATAAAATGAAGGATAAGATTCACCATTTGAGCATCATATGAAGGGCCTTCCATTTCAAAGTGGCTCACACCTTCTATTAGATGTGTTTCGACACGTCCCACTGCAGAACTTAACTTGTTCTTCAATTGCTTCACACTTGTGAATCCGTCCCGTGTCCCCATTACGAAAAGCTTTGGTTTTGGAGACTGTAAAATGGCTTTGTGATGTCTACCGAAAAGAATCGAGGCTGTTAGACCGAACGGGTAGCCAAGGCTAACATAGCCTACCACTTGTTCTATCAAATCCACAGATGAGCCAGCAATGGGGGCGCCTGCAAAAAATACAACTACATCACTTGTGATTCAGAATAATTTCACCTGTTCTCTGTCCCCACAAAATAATGGAAAATGATGATCTTAGCGCTTCAAACTTCACTAGATGCATCATCAATATTGCACCACCCTCCCTCTATCCTGCCCTCAATTTTGCTTTGACACAATGTTTCTTTCCAGTGTCTGATGTTCTGATAGAATCAAGACGGTTGGAACCGAGAAAACGAAAGAGTATAGATCCTCTCCTGAGATACGTTATTGTTTTATCCCAACCCGGTTTCATCCTGGAACAATCTTAGATGGTAAAGGTTCTTTCTTAGAAAAGAAAAAGTTGTAAAGATTTGTCCATATAGAGAAAACTATACAGATAAATTGAAGCAGCATCGCCATTGAACTGGAGGCGACCTACTTCCATCACGGAGGGAAAGGAAAGATCTCACTCACAATAGCCTAGTTATAGATGAGTTTCACAACAATTAGAAAGCCCTAGAAATATTCATACGGATTCAACAAGATATTTTTTTTCCTTAAAAAAAGAATCTTTGATAACACCAAGATAAAGATGTTTCAAATATTTGCTTCACTTAACCCAACAGTAACATACTAATTTCAACGAGCAAAAAACTAAGTTAATTCTACTTCCCGATTTATCTTAAAGGAAAGTTTTCCTTTAATCAATTCCTGAAATCCCAGAAAAACTATTCTCTGAATTCATTGCACAAAGAAATATCTGATGGCAAAGCAGAAGGTACTAGTTAATTCTACTTCCCAATTTCTCTTTTGCATCTTCTACATTCAAATTCTTCAACTCGATTATGCCAATCTATTAAAAATTCAATCGGCTGCAAGATAAGATTACTAGTCCATATAAAAACACACATAGACCTTTAAAGCACCTTTGTTCTGTGTGAGCAAGATTATAAATAAGTTGCTTTTTTTTCCATGGATAGAGATCATATAACAATCAACCAGAGAGTTACAGAATCTCTTCAGGTAATTCATAATCCTCCTTCTCCATCAGACTCGTGAAAAGAATTTCAAACTTCCAATCAGTTAGCGTGTAAGAACAATCAAATCCGAGAGCAATCACCAAAACATACGAGCAATCTCAGCAATATTTCACTAACTGAGACCAAAACCGAACCATAACCCACAAAATTCCAGAGCAGAAACTGAAGAACGACATACCTGCAGATGAACCCACCAACAAGATTCGATCAACAGACAAATTCTCACAGACCCACTTGCAGACAGCAGTGACATCCTTAATTTCCGCAAATCCAGTGAGAGAAGCCTTTCCAGACGATTTCCCAGCACCCCTCATGTCAAAAGTCACAGCCCTAAAACCCCTCTCCGCCAATCCAGCGGCTATTCCTCTCAAGAGCCCTTGACAACCACCCAAAACGGAATAGGGATGGACCAGAACAACCACCAGATTTTCCCTCGCCTCCTCATCTTTCGGCTTGAAAACCCTCGCGTGGAGCTTCACCCCATCACTGGTCTCGACTTTACACGACTCCACGGCGCAGTTCGACATCGCCGACAGTTCAAAAACAGGCGGACGAAGAGGAACTGAGGGCTATGAACTGGATCGGAGGCTGCAACTGGAATTTAATCCTTGTGGGGAAACGGAGGAATTAATGATTCTGGTTGGGAGATAACCAATTTTGACGGAGACGTGGTCGGAGAAGAGGGTTCCGACGATTAATTTGGTACCAAAATTCGGTTTCTTCGAGCGGAATTGACAGATTTGAGAGCAGAATCAAAATGGAGCTTATTTGTTTTTCATTCCAACGAATGGAGAACAAAACACTAGAAGTTGGGAAAACTTTTTTTTTTTTT